TAATATATATGGTGACAAATAAATGTTTGGATCATTTTTCAAACGTATAAACATTTAATAACAAGTCTTTTAATGCAGGTAAGAAAAAATAAATAACTTTTGCAAATAAAAACTTCAGATTTGTTCACATTTATTAATGGAACCATCATGGTCTGTCCTGTGCAGAATGACTAAACACTAAATTATTTCTTTACTAAAACCTCTGTAACTTTGCTCCAGTTAATTTTAGCAGCCTGAATGTTTGTACAGGTGATGTTCACAAGTGGATTTATGTTTCCAAGAGTTTTTAGCCTGATTTATTATGGTTTAATATATGTTATTTACTGTCTAATGAAAGAATTATTCAGGTGAGAGTGGGAAAAAAATATATATATATATTTTCCATCCTCAATATCTCTAAAACTACAGCAGCTGTTTTAATTATAACACTTCTAATAAAATATCCCAAGTGTTGCTTTATTTTGATACCAAGATTATTTAAGTAGAGTTTGTAAATGCTGAGATACTCAGTTATATTTCAGTATGGGATTTAGAGCAAAAACATCAAGAAAACCCCTTGGAGCTTAAGAGGTTAAATGAAAAAAAAAACTTTATTTAGTTTAATATCTACAGTTTTATTTTGATCAGAAGGTTTTATTTACCAGAATATTTGGCGACGGTGTGATATCTGTCTCTACTCTCTACTGCCGACAAAGCTGGATCTTTCTTCTGTTCTGTCTCGTTTTGTTCCCCCTGATAGCGAGACCCCCGTTCAGTCAGTTAGCTTCTCCGATCTGTGGGTAAAAGTAACTTTAGGCCTGTTGTATTTTTCTGCTATCTGATCCCTCAGACGATCACACCAGGGTCCGACTGCAGCTGCTGGATGGAGACCCCCACTCTGACTACATCAACGCCAATTATATTGATGTGAGTACACACACACACACACACACACACACACACACACACACACACACACACGCTAATTAACATCTACAAATCTTGTAACCCTATGAGCACAACTGTCCCGTATATATTGTTAAATGGATCCAGCTACAAAATGATAATAATTTTATTGATTCAGTGATCGAGGATAAAACCATTTAGAATCTGCTTAAGCTTTTATTTTGAAGGAGCTCTAAAAGCCCTGTCCACAGCAGTCATCACCTCTCTGCTGCATTCGCTCCCTCTCATCCACGAGGAAACAGAAGTTATGAGAAGTAAAACCATGTTTTTCTGTTTACGTTAAATCTGTGTGGACCAGAGTTATTATAGTTCACTAAAACTAACTAAATAATGAAAACTGAAATTTAAAAAACATTTTAGTTAACTAAAATTAATAAAAACAGTAATAAAATGAAAAAACGATAACTAAAACTGTATAACCTTTTTACAAAACTGAAATTAAAAATAGAATATCCTTAGTTTCAGTGTTTGTCAATTTATTTTGAGAGGTGGATCTGTGAAAAACAAACAGGTAGCAGCAGGTTGGAGACAACTATTGTCATCATCCTAACATATTTGCTCAAGTTTTTAGTTGGCTAAATTGAGTTACACAAGTATTTTAAGAAGGTGTTGCTATAATGGACTGATTTAACCAGTGACCAAATATCTGCTGGTTAGTTAACTCACAGGAGCATCACAAGCTGGAGGATGCATTGATAAATATGTTTATTCAAACTATAAAAAACTAATACTAGAACTAATCAATACTAAACTAAACTAAACTTAGCATTAAAAATGCCCTGATGCATCTCAGTAATCCAGGTAAAAAATCAAAGGAAAAAAAAAATTGTATAGGTCTTCTGGACGGGTTCTTCTTTAATGAAACG